TGTTCTGAGACTGACTGAAGGACTCACCCCTACCCACCCACCCCATGCAATCAATTTTTCTTACTTTGAATATTTTCCTCAACCTGTGCTCTTTTAGAAGGACTTTTTTTCAGAAAGGAGGGATGGAGGGAGATGTCTCCAGACAATGCCCTGTTATTTTTAATATACATTGCAGGGATTTGGGTTAAATTCATCATGTGTTCAAGCTCCAGGAGACTTGTCTTGGGACCTTGAGGTATTGTCTCACTACTACATTGGAACTGCAGGTTGGAAGAAGGAACTACAGGCGATTCCAGGTTAATCTAGCAAGCCCTGATTCCTGATGGCTTGAGGGGGCTTGATGCTGGAAAGCCAGTCTGACCCCAGGTTTGCAGAGCTGCTGGGTTTTGGGTGCCTAGGGCCTCGCCTGTCCTTCCAGACTGCCACTCAATTGCCCCATTCTTTCAGCTCCCCAACCTGCTTGCTTCTGAGGTTGATGCTTGCCCGAAGTATACGATGCATGGTGACTTTGATCAAAGGTGGGGCTGTCATGAAAGTGGCTGCTTGACTCTTCAGCTGTGCCTGCTTTTGGCTCACATGATTGGCCATTCCTGTCTAGTGGTTTGTTCTTGGCTTCCAATTTTGGCTTGTTAGGATGAAAACAAACCTGTAGTCTGTCCCACATGTTAAATCCTGAAAGGAGAGCCCAGTTTTCTTAGCGGTTCTGGCTGGCTGGAGGAATCAAATGGGTTTAATTTAACAGCAATGCACCAGGATATGGCTCATAAGCCAGAATTCTGAATAATTCCAGGTTGATGGGATATCTGATTATGGCCAATACCTAGTCTGAATAAAATTATTGCAGCTATGGTGATGTGGATTTGTATGGTTATACAACCATCCCCCAACTCATTGACTTCCAGATGTGCTGGGCTACAATAACTATTACCCCCAACTAGCAGAGCCATTAATTATTGGCTCAATATATAAGGTTTAACTCTCCCTTTGCTTTGTTTTAGCCAGTTTGTGCCAGAAATATATATACACTTCCTGGGGAGGGTTGTTTTTCCTTTTCTCCCTCACACACTGATAAAGGTTTGAAATTCAAATTTAGAACATGGAATTACAGTAATAGTAATTAAGATTAATGTTTTCTCTGCTTTATTTTTCTTGCCGGCTGCAACATGCTTAACCCAGAATGACTCCCTTTGATTCATAACAATACTCATGCCAGCTCTTGTACTTTACTCCATCTTTTCCAATTCTTCCAGCTTTGGCTTTGGATGTGAAAAAGAAATATGGTGACTCTGAATTTAATTAAAACACAGATTTTTTTTTGTTTTTAAATGATTAACAAATGTTGGCTTGCAACAGCAGCGCAAAATTTGTATTTCATACCAAAAACATCCAACAAGGTCTTGTTTCAAAAGCACATTGTGAATACTACCATGATTTACAATGCAGATGTCAAATCCACCAGATTTTGGGGAATGATAATTCATGGGTTTTAGGATTTATGGAGCCATTTTCACATCTAATGTTTACTTACAAGATTGTATGTATGATTTATACATCATCTTGTCTTATGAACGGGTTGGATTTTGCTAATTTTTAGCCATATCAGTTTTCCCTACCTTTGTTCTCTCCAGATAGGGTGGGACTGCAAATCCCAGAATTCCTAGCTAACGTGGCCAAAGGCAAGGAATTCTAGGAATGGCAACACACAGAATTATAGAATGCAGCCTAGAATGATCACTTGTCTTCAACATGCTTTTTCTAGAGCTGTCTTTCAAAAATGCTTGGGGTAAAGGAATGTAGAGCTGACCTTGGGCTGTTGAGGGGGTCTTGCAGAAAAGATTACACAATTGTGAGAAAGAGGGAAGCATAAGAAAGAAACACAAAATAACCCCACCTTGATTTTGTTCAGCATAAGATGGGGCAGAGAGAAACTTGAACAGGCTTTCAAGATTTGGTTACACTACCTTGCTACAGTGGAAGCCAGCTGAGTGTACTGATTAAAGTCAGCAGGCTGGAAACCAAGAGAGGGTGAGTTCTAGTCCTGCCTTATGCATGAAGCCAGCTGGGTGACCTTGGGCCAGTCCCCCTCTCTTAGCCCTAGGAGGGACGCAAACCACTTCTGACAGTCTTGCCAAGAAAACTGCAGAGACTTGTCACCAGGAATCCAGTATTACTTAAAGGCACCAAAAGAAAACAAAGCACACCTCACAACAATAAAGAGCTTTTCTGGAATTCTTGCCATGCCTATTTCCTGACCTGGTCTATCTTGAAGGGTTGACACCTGGATACTACAGTGTGCCCGTTATATGGAGGCTGTATTGCTACCTGGAGCTGTCCATTGGAAGCAACGAACCCAGGAGTGCCTATGAGGGTAGGATTAACAATGTCAAGATGGTAATCACAATTGGGCAATCAGATCGCTCCTTTTTTATGTGCATTGTGCTGTAAAAAGGGGTGGGACTTCAACTGCATGATTGTGGCTCCCATCTTGGCAAGATATTTCCCTCCCCTGCCCTGCCCTGCCCCTGCCCCGCCCCCCCCCCCCCCGGCATGGGCTTAGAGGAGTTCTTAAATGATCCAACTGTCTTTAGCCAGGGAGAAAAAAGATTTTCCATAGCTGTGAAACCCTCCTCGGTTATGATAGTTCTTGCTGAATGGCAAAGGCTTTTATAAAAAAGAAAGTTTATTTACAATGTCTTGCTTGTTAGGTTATTGATCATGTTTTGTACTGTTTAGAAGGTTCTAATCAATGCTAGCATGTTTTCTGCTGCCATTTTTATAGATTGTATTTTAATCTCACCACTTAAGGCAGTTTAATTTTCAATTACTTATTTTTTTCTTCCTAGCGTTTTTCCTGCAGGTGTAGGGTCCGTTTTTTCCCCTTCTGATCAACCAAATGTTGATCCATTGGTTGTGACAGGAACTGACCAACCAGCTTGTCACCTGAGCCTGACATCAGGGGCTGAAAGACTGGCCCAGAGCCATCCAGCTGCTTTCATGCCTAAGGCAGGACTAGAACTCACAGTCTCCTGCTTTCTAGCCTGGTGCCTTGACCACTAGACCAAGCTGGCTTTCAGTTATTATTGGTTGAATGGTTGAATAGTCTGTTAGCTCCCTTGGCCTATTTTTAAGAAATATGTAGTGTATTAGAAATGTCAGACATGAAATGTCAGCATCAGAGTTGGTACTGGGATATCAGTAACACTAATTCAAAAGTTTCATTTATTGTTGCTAATATTA